TCACGGCAGTAGGGCTTAGCGTGAAATTTCTGTTCCAAGAGCTCACGCCTGGAATGATCCGGAGCTCTGCCACGGTCGAGCGAGCTGTGAAAGAGATTCAGAAGCTGAGTCCGAAGCTGCTGGTAGTTCGTCCTCCCGATCACATGACCAAGACCCGAGGTAGTGCTGCTATGGTGAGAACGTATCATGCCAAGCATAGGGCTGCCTACACACGTTTGATTGCTGCTTGTTGTGCTGAGCAGTGCTGTGAGGGTCGCTTATTCTGTGTTGAAGATGTGAACGAGAGCATGAGTGACCGAGTGAGACAGTGGAAGAAGCAGCGCTGTGATGAGAACACGTTGGCTGTTGAGAGAGTGGAGAGTGATAACATGTGGAGAGCGTTCACGAACAGCAAGCATCTTCAGCAACAAATGCAGAAAACGTGGTTGAACATGAGCGAGTTACAGGATCCTAGGTGTTTCATCAAGGATGTGGCCACAGGACTGATGAAGGCAAAACAACAAGTTCACGAGGTTCATGTCGCCCATTGTGTGTTTACAATCGAGGATTTGAGAGGAGAAGGAGCCCAGGATGATCGTCGAATCATGACTATTCTCAGGCGCTGTCATGAGAACTTAGGGCATCCTTCACCAGCACGCATGAACATGTTGCTTAGGGCTGCGCATGCGAGTGAGAGAGTCCTGAGGTTAGCCAAGGGGTTGCGATGTGAGACGTGTGATGAGTTGTCTAAGCCTAAATCACATCATGTCACCAAGCTTCGCAAGGCTACGGAGTTCAATCAACAAGTGTGTGTTGACACGCTTGAGCAAGAGGTGCGTGACATGAAGGTCCATTTTCTCAACATTGTCGATGAGGCCACAGGGTATCAGATGGTGGCTCCGTTGTGGAAGGGCATGCAGGCCAAACATGTGAGAAACTCCTATAGGAAAAACTGGAAACGATGGGCAGGCCCCCCAGTGAGACTGTTTTGCGATGGTGGGAAAGAGTTTGAGGGTGAGTTTGAACATGGGTTGTCCTTGGATGGGACTTTCTGTGATGCGTCAGCTGCGTACTCGCCTTGGCAAAACGGTTTAGCTGAGAAGAAGGGTGATGTTTGGAAGGTGGCGTTTTCCAAGGCCCAGGTTGAGGCAAGGCCACGTAGCAAGCAGGAGGCTCAGGAGCTGATTGATCAGGTGACGTGTGCTGTAAATAGCATGACACGAAAGGACGGGTATGCTCCTAACCAGCATGTGTTCGGTCGTGACGTTCGCATTCCAGGTCTTGTCAGTTCGGATACGGACCCAGTGATCAACTCTGCACTTGCTCAGGGTGAATCGATATTTGAGAGACGAAGTGCCTTTCGGTCAGCAGCAAGGAAGGCTTTCCTCGAGGCTGATAATGACATGAGGTTGCGAGCGGCGATGGAGCATCGCACTCGACCTGAGCGAGGACCTTTCGAGACAGGACAGCTTGTGTTCTTGTGGCGGAAGAATCGCTTCGACAATCGTGCGCATTGGCATGGTCCTGCAGTGGTCATTGGAAAGTCTGGTGCTTCGAAGATCTGGGTTGCTCGGGGCACGAAGGTGTATCGCTGTTGTCCTGAGCAGTTGCGTGCGTTATCTCCAGATCAGGAGGCAACCGTGAAGCTTCTGCCTGCTGATATGGTGCACATTCGAGGGCTTGTGAGTGCTAGGGGAGCTGGTAATTTCCTTGATCTGAGCATGTTGGACAGACCACCAGATGTTACTCAGGAGTCTGAGCAGGTTCCTGTGCAAGAAGAGGTCAGTGGAGGACATCCAGAAGCAGGTGGGATAGGTGAGATGGACGTTGCTGTGAATCCGTTGGATGAACTGCATGACCCACCATCGGTTGTGTTGCCAGTACCACCACCAGTTGCGGAAACTCAGGAGCGCACGAGTCCGAGAGGCGAAGGGCCCGAAGGCGGTGAATCGCCAACAAAACGGGCACGCATGATGGCGAGAGGGGCAGAGTCAGTCGTGTCTCCTTTGACCCAGATGATGCGTCGTGATCCTGAGATGATTGACCGCGGCAGGTCCAGTGCTGCAGCGAGTTCCACTGAAGTGCGCGCGGAAGATGTTCCAGTGCCAGATGCTAATGAGCCTGATGATGATCTTGAAGTGTTCGCCTGCAGCGGCGATCACTGGATCATTAGCCATAGCAGATCCAAGCTTGTGCGTATGCATGCAGTTGAGCGTCGAGGAGTGTTTATTCCTGAGGCGGGTGCATTGCCAGTTGATGCGAAGCATGTTGATAGCTTGTGTTGCATGGTTGGCTTTGATCGGCTAGGGAACAAGGTGTGCTGTGAGTATGACTGGAGAAGCAGTCAACCTCCAGAGGTCCCAGTACGTGGCGGTTTCTGGACTGGTCATACGGAATTTCACCTAAAGCCTGGTTGGTCAGTGAAGCCGCAGACTGATGTCGAGTGCTTTGAAGTGAACATCAAGAAAGGCCGCAAGGAGTTGAGCGATCATGAGATTCCTTCTAGCAAGAGGGAAGGACTGGATCAAGCAAAGCTCAAGGAGTGGCGCAAACTCGTCGACAGTGGCGCTATTCGTGTGCATACCGGTGATGATGCTGCAAAAATAAGGCATGAGCTTGAGCGTGGTCGATTGCTAAAGTCCAGGTTTGTGTTGACAGAGGCTGAGGCGGGAAGCAGTCCTGTAACTGCTGACATAAAGGCTCGTTGGTGTGTAAGGGGGTATCTTGACCCTGACCTTCTCACACTTGATACGAGTGCGCCGACCCTGTCAGCAGAGGGCTTCGCAACAGCAGTGCAACTAATTGCGTCTAACAAGTGGAGGCTCAACATTGCTGATGTGGAGGGTGCCTTCTTACGTGGCGATGCTTTGGATCCCAAGAGGGGTAGATTGTTTATCGACCTTCCTCCTGGAGGTGTGCCTGGAGTGCCGGCAGGAAGCGTAGTGGAGGCCATCAAAACCATTTATGGGCTCGCTGATGCGCCAAAGGCCTGGTGGCAGTGCTTCTCTACAAAGCTGAAGGCTCTTGGCATGCGGGTTTCCAGGTTTGATCCTTGCCTGTATCACTACTTCGTCAAAGGGCGCATTGCTGGTACCATTGCCCTGCATGTGGATGATCTGATTGCTGGTGGCAGTGAAGCCTTTCAGAAAGATGTTCTGGAACCTCTTCGTAAGATGTTTCCTTTCAAGCACTGGAAGGTTGGAACGGGGGACTTTCTAGGAAAGAAGCTCGAGCAGTTCGCTGATGGAGGCATCAGAATAAGTCAATGTGAATATGCCAGGCAACTCAAAGGTATCGAGCTCAGTCGTGAGAGAAGGCGAGACAAGTCTGAGTGCGTGAGTGAAGAGGAGAGAGGTCAGATGAGAGGTGTGTTAGGAGCTGTGAACTGGCTTGTGAGTAGCAGTAGGCCTGACCTTGCTGCCTGCTGTTCATTGATTCAGCAAAGAGTGTGTGAAGCTACCGTTGCTGACATCATCGAGCTCAACAAACTCGTTAGCATGTGTCATGACAACAGCAGTGCTTACATATGGTTCCGCAGCATTCCTCTTGAGAAAATCCAGTTTGTCATGTTGTCTGATGCCGCATGGGCGAATGCACAGTCGTGCTGCAGCCAAGCGGGCTACATGATCGCCGCTTGTGACGAGAGGCTGGCCAGAGGTCAGTGGGGAACGTTTTCTGTCATGAGATGGAAGAGCTACAAGCAGGACCGGCAGACGCACTCCACACTTGGAGCAGAGTTGCTTTCCTTATCTCGAGGTATAGCTGAAGCTCGCTGGTTGCGTTCTATGTGGTGCGAGGCGGTATACTCCGAGTACACCCTCAAGGGCGATCATAGCTGGAGCAGTCGAATACCGATTACAGCCGTGATCGATTGTAAGCCTGTTTACGACCACGTCGAAGGGCCGATGATCTCTGTGAAAGACAAGCGTGTTGCCATCGAAATGATGTTAGTCAAAGATGACATCGCAAGGTATGGAATTACCTTGCGCTGGATGGCCACCAAGCAGATGATCGTCGACGTCTTGACCAAGCGAGGTGCTCCTATGGGTTTATTTAAGAGGGTTCTTCAGAGTGCGGAGTTTGTTTTGACCGAAGATGAAGAAGTGGCAAAGCTCACCTCTAAGAGGTGAGAGCTCTGAACATGTTACTCCCGGGATGTGCGAAACTTGTTTAACAGCTGAGG